GGTCTCAAACCAAAATGCCACATGGTGGAGGGCTCCATTGTACGGAACCTGTGTCATCATTTGTGCAGAAAAAGGTCTCAATCATTTAAGACAGAGCAAGCTCTATTTCTACAAGTGACATTCAGGTACGGTGAGATGGTATCTAAAGCTGCTGTCAGCTGGAGTTTTGGTTGTGACAGATACCTGAGTGCTGGTAGCAGTAAGAAAACTTTCTCTGGCAAACCCTGCCACAGGCACTTTGTTCCCCACAGCGGCGTGAACGCTGCAGCGTGGTATCTGTGCCACAATACGACATCCCACTGCAACAATTCAGCACGCTGGGGCACTCCTAATCACACCACCTCAAGGCACCTTCTTCAAAAGGAACCTTTACATGTCCCCCTCCTCTGCCACCCCCTGCTCCCCCCCCACGCCCCCCACCACCAGAGGGAAAGCAATTCGCACCTTCAGTACAATTTGCAAAAGCAAACACAAACGGGCTTCAAGGCAGCAGAAAGCCAAGCAACGGGAGTTTTCTAAACACAGAACCTAGTTGTCAGCATTCACTCTACCTTGCTCCTCCTCACTGCCTCGCGCTCAGCCAAAACCAGAACCTTCTACTCCTCATCCCCTTCCAGAACAGGACACCCCAGGGCACAGACGAGCCGGGGAACGTGCTGGCGCCCAGGAAATCCGGGCACCGTGCGGCCACTGCACCATCTGAGAGCAGCCCCGCACCAGCCAGCCCAGTTTGTTTTCTCCCAGGTTGTTCGGGAGCCAACAAAGCTCCTTGAGTGCTGGGGAACTCTGTGTTCCTGCCGAGGCTTATGACACTTCGCTGGAGGGGCAGGGGGAGCTGGCCGAGCCCGCAGCACCCCCTTCTGTCTACCGCACTCTTTTGCAGCCGGTTTGAGTCTCATTCTGGCACCGCAGGGTTCGGGTGGCTCATGAGAAGTTACCTTCTTGCTGCCTGCAGCTTGGAAAACACTCAGGAAGCTGGAAAGATTTGGGGTTAAAAAAAAAAATAAAAATTCAGCAAGCGTTTAGATGAGTCAGTGCTGTGGTTTTTACGAGGACAGACAAGTGCTTCTTGGGAAGCCAGTTTCGGCAAAGCCAGAATTGTTTTTGTGCCCAGTCTATGTGCTGGTAATGCCTAGAAGCTCTGTTCTTGGACCACATGCTTCATTGCCAGGCGCTCCTCAAACAATGGGGCTGTGTTTCCTCCTGGACGTCCACACTCGCCTGGACTCTCCTGCAGGCTTTCTGCAGTTTTCACAGCTTCCTGCTGGGGAGAGTCTCCTTCACTTCTGCAACTCCCCCCTCCTCCCCTCCGTAATTGCAGCCTATTTCGGTACCTTATCATGAGATGCTTCAGAGCTGATTAGCCTGGACTTCCTTCCTCCCATCATCAACCTACTCCAATATTGACGTTCATTCGCACTAATTTGATAATATCAAAGAGCAGAGGAGCTTTAGGAGGCATTATGGTGTCTTGAAGTGCACAATTTGGAGTTGGCAGCAGCACTGCTGATAAGAACGAGCTATTTCTCCTAATGTCCAGCTCTTCTCAAGAAGTAGCTGCTCGCCAGCCACGTGTAAAGCGGAAGGACAGACCCTCGTCGGCTCCGAGCCAGTTTAGTTTCAGTGGCTCTGAATAAACTGGAGCCAAGCGACGTGATACAACACATCCCATTAAATAACCTTTTTCTGAACAAACACTGTTTGTAAAGTTACACACACTTGGAAAGAGAAACGACTACTTCAAAACTACTTTGAAGAGAGTCTGCATTTTAACAGTCTCAAGGCCATCATCTGTCTGCAACAATGAAGAGATAGAGACAGGTAAATCTCACAGCACCGCATCATAAATACCCCTCACTGCACCACCTGAACTCCTGAGACAACTCATTCCTGCCTTTCCTGAAAGCCTCACTTAGTACAAAAGAGGATAAACTGGAAAGCAAAGGCAGGTAACCTCTTAAAAACACTATTTCATTCCATACGTGAGCTTCTGGTGATGCCTTCTACTCCCTCAGTGACACTGGTTGATTATTTCTGTTTATGTGGAAAAGACTCTGCAGCTTGTGAACACCAACACAAGACTAATGACTGTCAGCAGGCTGGAGAGCTGCAGCTGGTTTAGCCACTGCAGTGTGTCCTGGTGCTCTCAGAAGTTTCTTATCATTAATGTCTGCTGCGATACTCCTGGTGTAGGGCTCTGTGGAACGGGAGCAGCATGCTGGATGATCTCTGCCAGAAGGCTCCTATTTTTCTATCCTTTGAAGCAAGAAACCTTCCATCTTGAATTTATTAATTTTCATGCTTAAGATGATACACAATTTACGTTTTGAAACACTGGAAGCTTATTAAATAATTCCTAGTGCAGCCTGTGTATAAAGATTAATCTCCCCCGATCCAGGTAATATTAGTCTCTGAGTTACAGTTATAGCCAAAACCTTTCTCTTTTTACCTCTTTCTTTACATCAGAAAGGCAGTAGAGGGAACTGACAGTCCCAAGCAAGCTAGGGAATCTATCCTTTGTTGATATGATAAACAACTCGGCTCTTTTGTGGAAACTTAAATACAACAGCCAGACCCTCAAATAGCTAATAAAAATAAACCAACATAATAAAACCCCAACTGATACATCAGCTATCCCAATTTATTTAACAGTGCCATGGTTTAATCTAGACTGCCCAAAGAAGCAAATAATTAGACATTTAATCCAAACCAACTGCCCTCTCTGCTTCTCTGACCGGAAGATAAAAGTTATTTTACAGGCACGCCTACCAGCAAGGTTTGCAAGTGCTGGGTTACTCTACCACAGCCCCAAGTCCCTCACTAGAACTACGCAACCTCAAGGACCACGTCGCTCCAATATCCTGAACGAGCCCACCCTGTCCACCTAACACTGGCGTAACGTGCCACAACACATAGATATTTATCAGAGACTGCACGGATCCACAATGAAAATCACTCTGAAGGCATTTCTCCCCCTTCTCTACTCTGACGGGCATGAGGCTGAAAGCAAGCAGATTTATGTTTACAGTTAACATGAAAAATGTTTATTTGCAAAATACATAATTCATCGTTTCAAACTACAAAAAAAAATATTACTTGCAGAAAGGAACGTGCAGTTTTCAACTCTGCATGCAACCCCAGTTAGGTATAAGTTCCTGTCTACTAGCTGGTCCTGTTCCCACTAGCACTTTATTAACTCCAAAGCACTGTAGCCATTATTTTAAGCGAAGAACAACAAATCCTAGTTAGAAACACTTTGAAGAAGGGTGATATTGTCCCCTTTTAACATGATCCGACCTGCAACACAGAGAAAGGAAAGGGAGGATTAGAGAGATCCCAGACTCTGACGATAAACTCGTGTTTTTAAAAACCATTTCACAACAGCAGAGGTGTTGCAAGGAGTCACCTCCACAACCGGGTGTGTGTCAGTAACAGCGTCCGTCCCACCAGACCGGACGGGTGGTCGTGCAGGGCCCACAGTCATGGTTCACACCGCGACGTCGCAGACACAATCTCTGCTCCGCAGCGCTCTGTCCCCACTAACAGCCCCAACACGTCACTCTCACAGTGTTTACCCTCATCAGAGGGTGGTAAGTATTAAAACACCACCACTGAGGTGGTTCCCCGAGTCGACTCGGAGGGGACGCAGCAAGTGTCAGACCTGCTCGGGGCCACCTGCGTTAGATGAGGCCGAGAGGAGTTTGACTGGAGCCCTCCAGCCACCCCAGCTGCAGAAAAAACACAGCACAGTAGGTATGCTGTGACACACTTGAAAGACAAAAACTGGCCTCGGGCAGTGGCAGATTCTCCTGCAGATTCAACAAAACCACCAGCTCAAACAACAGCAGGAACCAAGACCTAGCCAGTATCCGCTCGCTGCGCTTCAAACTCAACACTCCTCGTGTGTTTTGCACTTTAAGTAGTTGCTACATGGAAATTTCACACAACCTGGTCCTGGGCATGGCTCAGGTTACACGTACTGACATACCCAGCTGTTTCCTGGATTTTGTTTTGGAGTGAATCTCCTCTGCGTCATCCAACACCAAGTTCATATATTCATCAAAGCCCTAAAAATCAGTAATAAAAGCAGTCAGTGAGTCATGTCTCTCAGTCTAAACTACAACACTAACTATCATTAGCTGCGCTGACATGGGCTGGACAATTAAGACTATCCATTGGAGACACATGAAGTTATTTCCACCCCCCCACTAGTTTTTCTCAACAGAAAGACAGTTTTATGAATCTGGAAAAAAAAAAAATAAAATCAAAAGATGTAACAAGGGGACATCCTGACACTCACAATGATGCAGCCTTCTATCCGCATGTTCACTTGTTCATAAAGCCACACCTGGATCCTGGACCTCTGCAAAATGATGGAAGGGGAGAGAAAAACAAGAACATAAACACTCCAAGCAATTCTGTTCTCTCTGTTGTATTAAGAAATCCTTGCTACCCACAGTTTCCTAACACTCAAAACAGTAACTCTCACAAAGGGTTTCAACTACATCCACAGTTATTTTTAAGGTGCTGTACCATAGTGTAAACGCTTTATTTGTTCACAGATGAACGTGTAACAGCAGATTTAAAAACTGCCGTGGAAAACATCCCTGCACGCTGGATTACCAAATCAAATGTCTGTTACTAAGGTAATTCCTTAACACTGAACTCGGGACTAGCTGGTCTCCTCACGTACCTGAGGGGCAGCAAGTTCTTCAGTTCAACAGAAACCGACTTCAAAACCTAAATTATGAACTCGGAAATACCAATCTGAGGATGTGGTGCCCTGGTCCCCACACAGGTCCAAGGGCCCTACGCAAGAATCACAGACTGGTTTGGGTTGGAAGGGACCTTAAAGATCACCCAGTTCCAATCCCCTCGCCATGGGCAGGGCCACCTTCCACTAGGCCCAGGTTGCCCAAAGCCCCATCCAACCTGGCCTTGAACCCTTCCAGGGAGGGGGCAGCCACAGCTTCTCTGGGCAGCCTGTGCCAGGGCCTCACCCCCCTCACAGGGGAGAATTTCTGCCTTAGAGGGGAGATTTAGATCAGATCTATCAGTTTAAAACCGTTACCCCTCCTCCTGTCCCTACACCCCTGATCAAGAGTCCCTCCCCCCTTTCCTGCAGCCCCTTTCAGCCCTGGGACGCCGCTCTAAGGTCTCCCCGACGCCTTCTCTCCTCCCGCTGAAGCCCCTAGAGCAGGGTGTTCTCTCCAGAAGCACCCGGCCCTTTCCCTCTCCCGGGGGGAGGCTGCGGCAGGCCCTCCCGCCCCACCCCGCGGTACTCACGTTCTGCAGGTAGCGGAAGATGAGGTTCTGGAGCGGAGCGTTAAGGACGCAGCACAGCAACAATATCCTCAGCGACACGGCTCCCGGGGCTGGCACCCGCGGCCTTCCGGCGCCTCCCGGGCCGCACACAGCAGCTCCTTCCCGCCTACCCCCCACCCCTCCCTCCTTCCCTCCCGCCAGACCCCGCGGCTCCGAACCGAGCCCTCCCGCGCCCCGGGAAGGATACGATGGGCTGCACCATCACCTTCTGCACCTTCTGGCCCTGCCCGCGGTACGCCATGGCTGCTGCTGCTGCTGCCCGGCACACGCTCCCGCCGCCGGAAGTCGCTGAGCACGGCGGGAGCGCGCAAGGAGCTCTG